GCTTTGTGGAATATCCCCATATGAGGGTGGGTAGAGAGGACCTTCCTTGTAGGTGAGACAGTCAACATTACCTTCCCAACCTCCATGGAAACCTTTGTCATAGTTTCAGTCTGAAGCTGGAACTCAAAAGTTGGAAAGAGGTCAATGAAGCCATGCCAGCAGTGAGCCACACTGGGAGAGATTACCTACTGGGAGAGCTACTGGGAGCTACTGGGAGAGATTACCTAACTCCCAGCATATCCCCCAAACCAGACCTAAAGCTGATGCTATTTGATTCCGTCCCACTGGTTTCATTTGGAAGGAATCAATTAAAAGGGAGGAATAACCCAAAGGGAGAAAGGGGAAAGTGGAAATGCTACTTCTCCTTCTATCTTGCTGAATTCCTACCAGCAGTCCTTTGGTTTTGTAAGATGCTCTGATGTCATAGCTGTCTGCAGTGGCAGGTCAGATTGTCCTGTACATGTCTATCCGTCCTTGCCAGTTATTTCAGATTTTCCAGCCTTATATCTTCCCCTGCTTACGTTGTTCATTCATCTCACTCAAGCAACAGAGCATAAAATGTTGAAGTTGGGGAGGATAGAAGTGTTCAAGCTGATACAGTTTAAGCCATGGAGCTAAACTTGTTTGACTTCTTGTCATAGCAAAATGACTGAGTTCATTTTGCTATGGGTCACAGGGCACAAGGTTATATTAGCACAGAATTCTGCACCTCGAGAAGATATTTTGATTGTATCACATGGGCATTTTAAGGAACATCTTCTGTGGTGCAGTGGCTAAGAGTTTGGATATAATAAATATGGATTCAAATATGCTAGATTCAGATATGAAACTCAGTAGAGAGACTTGGGTAATGATATATCTCACAAGGTAGCTAAAACATAATTGAGAGTTTCCTGGATATAGGATCAGATTCAAATGCATCAATTTGCCACACAATGGCTTCCTATATCCTTAATGCACAAATCCAACAGGAATTGCCTTCTAAAAAGCAAGTATCTTTGCCACAGAGGAAAACTCCAAAGCACATTGCTAGAGTAGGCAGGGACAATGTTGATCTTTCACTAGCTCCCATTTTATCTATGGGTGCAATAAAAAACATTTCATCTACAGATGTGCAATAAATTGATGCTGATGTACCTTTAGACTACTTAACAGCCATATCCTTTTAGTGAAAGATGGCTCATTGCATAACCATGTGTGAATTAACAAATGTATTAACATATTTGTGCAAAATGTGACTTCATCAAAGAGCACGTGATAGAACAAAAGCAGCTGACAATCTGTGAAGTATAAATGGAATGAAATTTACAACATTCACGCACCCCTACTGATAGCCATGACAACATTATGCAGAATATATTTTTGTTTCGACTCGCTATTACTGGCTTGCAAGTGCTCAGGTCAGTGGTGTATTTTTCAAGAATGAAGCTATGCTAATGTAATTGTTTTGTTTCAATTCATGTTCAGAAAAATAGATTGCATACCCCTGCTCTCTCTCCCACTGTCTTTCACACACTCTTACAAATATATCACATTTTGAATCACATTATTTACATGAATAGTGGCTTTTCTGAGGGCCTGCAGCAATCCTCACACATTAAGGCAATATAGGAAAGGGCAAATTAGCAATGTTCACAATTGCCAGGGTTCTCCAAACATCAGCTTACTGTTCATCTTGTGCTTGATTCCTGATAACTGCTTGCATGGCACAAAACAAGACAGTTTGCAAATCAGGCAGTCGTGATTGGTGATGCAATCTCTCAAAATCTGTACAAGTTTTGCCCATATTGCCCATATGTGGTACCACATTTTCAGGTAGGTGGATATAGCCACAGCTTTAAAGCTTTTTTATATGCTTTCACCAAATAAGATACTTCTTTTATATCTAGGAGTATTTGGAATCTATTCTGCAAAAGGGTATGCAGTCATTCCCACAGCTCTCACACTTACTTAGATATTGTAATTATATTTTCTAAGTGTGATCTCAATATGTCGGCATAGTTAAGTGGAAGCAGTACCATGTCAGGTTCCACACAACATTGTTCCACACAGCTACTATAGGTCAACTTATGTAAACAACACAACAAGGGATGGAAGAGTGACCCACCCAGGCAGTATCACACTTGCTGTGTTGAAATCATACCAGCTTCCTCCAACAACACAGTACTTTCCATTGAAAACATGAATGCTTACAATCTATAGTACAATAGGCCATACAGACTACCCATGCCTTGGATAGGCTCCACATCTCCAATAGCCAGTCACAGAACAGCATAATGGGTCACACTATCTTTGGTGACCCAATAGCGCTCTGCTGTGACTGCTTATTGGAACATTGTCAGAAATAAACCAAAGTACTTGCTTCACAACTGCTACCCCCTTAGATGCGCTGACGGAGCATCCTTCTTGTCTTTTTCTTCTGAGTTATTCACTGAGATTAAGGCCTCAATGTATTCAAAGACAAAAAGTTCCACTCAGAATGTGAATATCACTCCTGCACAATCCATGATTGGTACTTCTCTTAATAAACAGTTCCTCAAACAAATAACTTGAGAAGCAGGTTATGCAGATGAGCACTTCCTCAGTAAGAAAAAGGGTAAAGACTGGGAACTGAGGAATGGTGAATAGGAAATAATGGTACTCACTTGCATATACCAGCATTTGGTCACCAAAAAATATTCTTCCACCCTTTTTTCAGTAAGAAGGAATTTCATACATCTACCTACATTCTCCTATTGCATAAATGTTGAGCACAGAATGTGGACAATCCACTCAAAAATGCATGGGTTGTAGTAAACTCAGTCTGTCTTGGGTTGCCAAGTATCCTGACATATCACATATCCGATCTCATTCTTACAACCGTCCAAGCAGAGGCACAGTTTAAAAGCTTCCTTTCTAGCTTAAAAGCAACATCAAAACATACAGGTACATCAAGCGGATATATTGGGTCTTTCAATATGTATTCCAGAATTCCTAGATACATTGAGTCTTTGAGCATGCAAAAGGACTGACATTTGGCTAGGCCTTTTCACACAATAACCACTTGGCACTGTAAAGAACTCCACATCGACAGCAGCTTTGCACCTGTAAATGTCATTGTGCCATCATCAGAGAAATAACATGAACCTGATGCCTTCTACTAACAAGGTAAAGGCTATATTCTGGTTATTATCTATGGGTACTGGTGCAGTGCCTCACAGAACACTTTCAAGTGTATTAAATTACTTCAGTTAGGCAATAGAAGGACCTGGGAACTATGTTATATTGTAGCACAGGAGACTAACACACTTTGTTCTAAGGTCCATTTGTGAATTTACTCACCAACAGAAAGCAGGAATGCTTCACCTACATAATTGTTGAGCCAAAGAACTTTCCCCACACCTTGCACATGCTTCAGTAACACAGAAACCCCAGGGGCAGCCTCACTGAGGAACAGTTACAAATCGATTCTGAGAGGTCTTGAGCTCCCTTGTCTGCTTTTCACACACAGTCCACAGCTCCGCACTGTGCTGCACAGACAAATCAGCCTGGGTGGGAGAGAATTGTTCTGGGTGATGCCTGCCTGAAGAGAAGCTGTGCAGCTACTGCTTTGCTGAGGGATCTCAGCATGCATTTTTTTAGAGTTGGGGGACCGATCTGTACAGATTCCTGCAATAATTGATCACTGACCTGGATGTATTCAGGAAATTTACAGATTCATCTCAGATGCTGTTTTGTATGCATCATTCATTCATTAATGTGCATGGTGCATTACAGGGCAGAATAAGACATGGTCATTCCCTTTTTAAAACACCTTATCACTTGCTTAAACTGAGAGGGAGTCGTGACACTGAAGCCAAGTGACAATTTATCTTAAGCTCGACAAGTCTAATTTTTACTGCTCAGTCACACTTTTTCTGGGAGGCAGGTGGCACAGTGGGTTAAACTGATAGGCCAAGGGTGCGGAATCTTTTTGAGCTCAAGGGCCAAATTCTATTTGAGAGGTGCTTTCAGGAGCTGCATTCCAGGGTTGAGGAGAGCTGACGTTTTCCCCATTCAAATTTTGAAATGGGGAAAATGTCAAAGCTAGAAAACTGCCATTGAAACTGCAGACAGGTGCAAACATAAGGCCTGAGAAAGAGTGATGACCATGTGGTGAACCCAGAAGGCCAGATTAGGACCTGTGGAGGCCTTTGACCCTGATGACCAAGTGTTAACTGCTGACGGGCTACTACAGGGCCCTTATTCCCCCTTCTTTAAAGCAGATTTGGACTGCTTAGTCCCTTCAATAAATAACAACTTGAAACAGAAGCTAAAGTGGGGCATACAGCCACTGCAGCCAAATCGCGGAATGCAATCTGCTATTTTCTTTGCTGCAACTTGTTAGGTTCTGCTACAGCTGATTCACATGAAAACTTGTAATTTTGTGTGTGTGTTGCTGCAGTTTTGTTCATTCCCTTTACCAGAGACCCTTCATAAATTATTGACAAACGTTAGCTTGTTTGGGAGAAGTAAATTAGGATCTTATATTCAAGCATCACAATAAGCTATTTCTTATTGCGTGTTTGGTTAGCTTCACCTGTGTGATGGAAAGAGCAAAGTGAGAGCAAACAGGCTGTGTGCACCAGCATGTGACTTGTTCACAGTAAGCAAAAAATCCTAACTTATCTTTAGATGTGAAGCCAACCAATATGGGACTTAAAATAGGAAGTATATGCTTCCAGTTGCATCAGAGGAAAGGGGAAGGGAAGCATTTGACTCTGTGGCTCTCACATAGCACCAACCCATGCCTTAGAATTACATCCGTGATGTAGCTCATATTTTATTGACACTTCCTTAGCATGAAAGAGTTGTTGATTTGAGGATATGTCCTAAAGTCATATGGATTGGGTAGTTCCAGAGCCCTATAGGTTGTTATATAAGAGATCCTTAGATGCTTCTTAAAATGAAGTCATATTTTAAGTTATTCTGACCTGTTTTGGACCCAGCAACATGACAGAAAGTGGTCAAGAACAATGTACCTTTTGGTCAATGCTGTACGCTAGAATCCAGTCCTCTTGCTTAGGATGAAAGAGCAGACTCTGGATATAGAAGTTCAGTCGATATTTTTGATAGGTGGCACCTTCATCGTTGCTGATGAGAATGCTACTTTCAATTTCAGGATCACTCAAGAGCATTATCTATACAATAAGAAGAAAAATATGGGGTAAAGGAAGATCAGCTAGCAATGCATCTAATACCTGCTTATTACTATTGCCATGTAGTTTGTAGTTAGGGCTTTCCATATCATGAATCGTGATGACAAACTGTAACCCAAGAATATATATATGCAACCACCATAAACATGGGCTAACTTTGTGATTTCCCTCTCCCATCCCTACACACACACACACACACACAATTTAATTGCTTGTAATGCCACAGTATCAGGGTTTGATCTGAGAATTTTAATTCTGCCTCTACAATTTTTCAATTCTTTTTCCACCAGATCTCAAGACTGAATGAAGCACATCTAACTTCAGTAATTTCATTGATTCGGAATTTCACTTTAACTCCGGATCTGTGCACACACACCAAACAAAATATTATACCGAGTGCATTTATTGCCTATTGCAAAATATTGAACTATTCCAGCTATGCTTCTGGTTAGTGTGGGTTTGTAAGGTAGCAAATGGACTTATGAAGAACAAACAAAATAGGAATGTTTTAACCTGGGCACAATACATTATCCCGGACTGTAAATTAAGTTAATACTAGGAACTTTCTAAAATTCCTGCGCTTTCCTTTGTATTGAATTTCTATACAGCCAAGCCTCCTAGGAGGCTCAGGGAACTCAAAAACCATTTGTGATATGGGGATTTGGAGAAGAGGGGATTCTGCGAAATCAGACTTAATCCTAAGGTAAGTTATCTGAAAGAAGTTCATTGAAAGAAAGTTTCCCATCCCCTTCTTTCCAATTCCTTTGCAGATCTTCCCCCATATCTCCATTCCTTGTCACACAGGAAGACCTCTCAGCCCTCCAGAGAAAATTTAGGGAACACTCATGGGTACAATAGAAATGACTGGATGGGAAAGTTGTAGGGCATTTTTTCTGTCTAAGCATACATAGGATTTTACCCTTACAAATACAAATAATTTTTGTATCCAAGCATACAAATAATTATTAAATCACCATGAAAAAAGAGATCACATGCAATCAAAAGTCAATAAAACAGGACTGAGTCAAACCAGCAAAAAGGTCATCCAGATGAATAGTGAACTGAGCAAGTAATTGACAGAGGGCTGAGTCAGCCAAAATTCTAACCAAAACCTAGACTTTTCAATGTTAGCTCAATCTGGCATTTGGACTGAACATCATTTTCCATGGTATTTTTATGTCTGCTGTGTATCCCTTTAAGCAAGATGGTGAAACATAAAATATAATAGAAAGTAAATAAGCATAGCTCTCATTACTGTGAACTTCTTCACAGTTCAGGGCATGGCCAAAGGTTATTGATTCCTTAATCAGGATACTTAAACTCATGAAATATAATTAGGATGACTATATATTCCAACATTCCAGAAGGTGGACACAATAGCTTATTGCAGCAGAAAACAACAAAAATGTCCATTCACATATACCCTGAGCTGCTGTCATGTGTGAACCAGGCATAATTTTTTAAACCCTGGGTTGTCAAGAATTGGTAAGCATGCTAGATCAATCATGTTGTTTGATCACTCCCTGTTGGCTTTTTCTCCCATGGGAACTAGACAAGCTAAGGATCTCTGGGTTGGTTAGTGTGATGTCCATACCTGGAAATCTGGGTTGTCTCTTCCCCAACAAGACAGAATTTAAATGCATGGTTAAACTCTGGGCACCAAATCTGATTTTTTTCAGGGGGAAAATACAACCCTGATACACAGTCTTTAGCATGTGCACTGCATGTTTAAAAATATCTGCAGCAAGAAAAACTTAATTCCATTCCCTCAAGGCATTCCACAGATGGGACAGATTTTCTTAATGTTCTATTTGGCATGGTTGCTTCTGCAATATTTACTCTTATAAATACATACATATATGTTGTTCTAATCTTGATAGTCATGATGAAAAGAGGCAAGAATAGTGAGCTACATAGCAAGGAGCTATGTGGGTGACTAAAGTCTATCTTTTATTTCCTTTGTATGTTCACACAGACTTTTACACAATTAGAATTCTTGTTAAGTAGAGACAATCCACCTTCAAGCACATATTTGCAGAGAATACATAGGGACTAGATCCTTACTTCTAATTTTTAAATGATAACTGGGTTTTGTAGTATGCCAAATTCTATGTCCAGTTTCAAATTCTGTACTTCTGCATTCATGGCATTCTTTGGAGTACGTAGTCACATCTATTGCATGGCAGTATATGTAGCAAGTATGCTCTTGTTTGCTTCCCCCATTTCATCCTTAAGTAGTCATCCAGTGGAGCTATTCTGGGTGGTCTGGGGACTGTTGATTCTTCTCCAGAGAATAGTGCCCTGGTGCCCTTAAAGGCCCATTGGGATGTTTTTGCATCACACTTTGATGATAAATTCTCCAGTCTCCACAGTTACTTCATGCTTCATGCAGTTCCAGCTGAGGTGTTTGACACTACCATCTACCAGTTTTATGTGATTAATTTCAGTTACGACAACCCTGATGACATACAGAAGATGCTTGGATCCAACTGCATGTTCTCAATCCTTGTCCCTCCTGGCTGATAAAAGAGGGTCTAACTGGGTGAGTCCAGGGGATGCTAAATGCATCTGAATGAATGGTTGGTTCCTAATTCACCTGAAAAGGGAGTATTGTGACAACTGCTGGAAAAAACGGGGAGCAAAGAAAAAGGGAAAAAAGGGGGGAAATGGTATTTGACAACTGTCACCTACTAGGAAATATCTTTCAAGTACTTGAAGAGCACTATCATATCTCCCATAACTCTTCTCTACCGAGGTTAAAAGTGCTCAGCTCTTCCACTGTCTCATCATAGAACTTTGTATCCAGTTCCTGAATCACACGTGTTGCCCCCTCTCCTTTTTTCCTAGGCCATCAGACCTAGGTTATGCCCTTGAAGCCCATAGCTTTGAAGCTTCGACTGTGGGCCTTGTGGAAACATAATGTGGAGGAGAAGGCAGAGACTGGTTTTTGGTACCTTCAGTTTGAGACTGTTGCTGACACTGTATTACATGGAGTGTCAGGAATTATTAGCAATGTAGCTACACAGTAAAACATTAGGGAATTGATATATCCTTCTGCTATGTACTAGCATTAAGGTCCTTGGCTTAGAGTAAGAGTCTGAGAGAAAAATCTCTAATCTAAAACATTACTTGTTGATAACCTGTAGTGACACTACAGGAAAAAAACTCTGGTATTCCCAAAGGGATCTCACTTTTAAAAGTAGCATCCTTCTGGAATGTTTTAATTCATGGCAATCATCAATTCTCTCATCTGCTGTGCAGATGTAAGCAAATGTTACTAATGCATGCTACAGATGTCTCTCTTATCCCCTGAATGTGAATAAATAGATCACGAAACAAAACAAGTCCCAGCTGGAAGCTTTTTCTTGAATCCTGAAAAGGTGATTTGGTTTTTCAAATGGGGATTAAAGGTAAAACCCTTTTTCTTTTATACTGCAAAATGGAAGCCCTTTGGGAAGCAAATAAAAAATAAGAGATCAAGGTTTTGTTTCTTTCTTGTATGCAGTTTTTGTCATGGTGGTTCTGGAGATCATGAAAAGGTGATAATTCCTATTGAACAAAGCTTGGTCAGAGTGAAGTTTCAAGAGTTTCAAAACTGATTTTAGTTCTGAACCTAAATGCTTCTAGTCTGATTTAGCCCATGCAGCTGCAGTAAAACTTTATGAAGAGGGATGTGCACATTTTATTCATTCATTTACAGTATTTCCATGCCATTCTACATCCAAGTGGATTCTGCAGTGATGAAAACCATAAGACTAAAACAAATTTTAAAAATAAAACACAAGATATTACAAACATTCATAAACAAAATACCAGCCTTTCCTGGCTGGTCAATAAGGAAAGACTTTCTGGAATAAGATTGCCTTTTGAAGGCACTGGAAACAGCAGAGTGTTGGGACCTGCCTGACCTCCCGAGGCAAGAAATTCCATGGAAATGGGCCCACCATACTGAAGATTCTTCTCCTGGTGCCTTCCAGTCAGGGCATGGGTCCATGTGGAACCACCAGGAGAATGTCCTCTGATGATCTCAGTACCTGGACAGATTGGTAGTGAAGAAGGCACTCTCTCAGGTATCACTGTCTCAAGTTGTTCAGGTCCTTGTATGCTAGTACTAAAAAGTTTAACTTGCCCTGGTAGTGAAAGATAGCCAGTACAGTTCCTTTACCAAAGGAGTTGCATACTGTAAAGAGGCAGCTCCTGAGAACTTCATTCTGCAATAATTCCCCCTTCAGAGCTGCCTTAAGGGCCACATACAGTGCACTGCAGTAATCAAGTCCAGAGGGTATTTGTCTGAGGCTGGTGCTCCTTCCCAACAAAACCAATCACTCCAGCAGATACTACAAACATCTGTATTCTAAACAGCTATACATGTACAGTCGGAACAGGATAGAAAGTTGATCCCTCATTCTAATGGACTACAGCCCACACTTTGCTTATGAACCCTCCGTGGCCACACCCCTGGAGGCAGGGCGCTGTGAACTCTGTCTTGCCATCATTCAGTCAATCGGGATTCCAGCTGTCCTAGTCTGCATGTGCACCTGTGAGAACGAGCATCCTCAAATCCCACTTGTCCCTGATCAGTTTGGTTCTCACACTCTATCTCAGAAGACTGAGTCTGTTCTCATGTTTACCCCAAAATGCCCTGTCCCCACACCTCTGTTTCATCTTCTCTCAGCACCGCATTATCTGGCCCATTCTTACTCTCACCATCTGTGACAGTGGGGAGTAAAGTTTGTTCTGCTGAAACCAGAAATAGCTCTTCATTGACGCTCTGGTTCTCATGAGAAGTTTCCTCCCCTTGCGTGTGCATATTGGAGCTGATACCACTCTGGCAAAGCTATCCCTGTCCAGGAGGAGAACAAATCAGAAATGATAAAAGGTACCCCAAGACACCATGGTCATTTGAGACTGATAGAGATGGATCTAGGAATACCTCCAGGCCAAGGACCTGGTCTTTCAGGGGTGAGTGAAACTCCATCCAG